AATAAATTTAGTAATTAAGTCAAGTGTGGGGTCATTCTTTTGAAATGTAATCATCTAAGAGCATAGGTTCTCTGTCTCCAGGAACAGTTAGCATAACTCCAGTAAGTGTCAGTCAGCAAGCACATGACACAATCACATTGATCAACCTCCCTACTAACGTTCTCCAAGGCCTCTCCTCTAACTCACATAGCTAAAAGCCTCTCCTGTCTTTGTCTCCAGAGAGTCTATTCCAACACCTGTCCCTGTTGCACATTCTTGACCCTGGATGCAATAAGGTCATATATTCTTCCTTCCCCCTTTTGCAGTTTAGGATTAAATTTTCTTGTAAAATGCAGAAGTTCATTCCTTTTAACCTGACCAATTATAGTGGTGAAAATTTTAGGTGCATAATGGTAAGTCTTCATGCATATATGTGCACATTGTGACATGATTAAATTGGGGACTCAGCATATCTGTCACCTCAGATACTTATAATTTTGTTATGGTGAAACACTGAAATTCTACTGTACTAGGTGTTTTGAAATACATAATTCGTTATTATTTACAACCATGTCATTGTGTAATAATCCACCAGAACTCATTGCTCCTACCAAATTGTAATTCTGTACCCATTGACCAATCTTCTCTTAGCATCCCTTGATCTTACCAGCCACTAGTAGCAAGTATTCTATTCTTACTTTCTATTACATTGCTTTTTATCTTGGATATGTGAGAACATGTTGTTCTCCTGGTTGTGTGTCTGGATATTACACAGTAAGTGTCCTCCAGTATTGTCTCAGTTATTAAAAAGTCCATGTTTTTATGGCTGAGTATGTTCTACTATGTATGTTCACCCAGAGACACACACAGTGATTATATATGTATACAACATTCTCTTTATCCATCCTCCTACTGGGGGATAGCTCTTGGCAATAATGTAAAATATACAGAGCTACAATACACAAAGATATCTCTCCAGCACAAAGAGTTTATTTCTATTTGAAGGTTTGGTTTTATGAACTCTTTCTACAACCAGAAACATAATATAGTGGATTAAGAGAACATATTTTTCTGAGCTTTACCAACTTACTTTGCCTCTCAAAGTTCCACAGATCATTTAAGAAACTTGCATGTTAGAGGAAAAGATTCTCCAATCTAAAGTGGCCCAGATACTCACTTTCCCAACTTCTTAATACTTGAACCCTAGGTGACAGTGACCCTCACCTCACTCTCTGAAGCTCTCTACCCAATGACCACATGCCCTCACACTTGCCATTGCCTACATTCTCCCCAATTTGGGTGTTTATCTAAATCTCCTGGTTTGTAACCTATTCCACTGCCTTCCTGTCCCTTAATGCTGAAGACCCTGGTTCTTTGATAGTTTACCTCAATAAAGCTTCACTTGAAAGTCTGCTGGAAACTCTGATGCCCAGGGTGTACCCAGAACACTTGTATCCAGGTCTTTCATGTGAGATGCTGTGTGTTAGGAATGTCCACACTTCCCGTGTGTGTAAACTGAAGTCTTGGATTCAAGGTTCAGGAAACACCCCTGCCTCAGCATTTTCACTCAAATTCTTGAGAACCATAAGAAGGAATTCTGATTAGAAAAACTGACTGATTTGGGAAATAAAGGTGTTGTTCTGGCCTTTCTTTCTCTTTCCTTTACTGATGGCTCTCATATGATGAGAGAGAGAATAAAGGGCAGATCTAGAAAGGCTTTGTAGTTTTAAATCCTAAGGAAAAGAAAACACTTGCTAGTTCTTCTCATGTTCTAGCAATCACCAGGTCCATCCAGCCCACCCCACTAAATCCATCCCCAAGGACAGATGAACCCCACTTGGTTGCACACTAACTCTGCATCCGCATTGCAGAAATCTGGATAAATAATGAAGAAGAAGTTGTTCATCAAAGCATCCAATATAGTACAAGACTTTATGACACTTATCTAAGATGTGTTTTCTGAGTCATTCTGGAGAAACGTTGGTTGACAAGATGAATTTCCCATTTCATCAGTGCATTAACAAAGCAAATGTTGATATTCAAAATAATGCACACAAGTCACATGTTCTCTCACTGTACATGATCATGTTCTGCTCTCCTACTGCCATGTAAGATACCATAACAAGAAGGAATGGATTTCAAACAACACACACACCTTCTAACACATGTTTATCATTTGGACATTGGTCAGTCCCATGGGCACAGAGATGAGTGGTTCTCTTAGATTTACACAGTTGGTCCTGGTGTCGGGAGGAAAATTGAGACAGGCTGTGATCTGAGACCAGATGTGCAGAGTACAACCATCTATCCTGGCTCAGGAAGGAGGGATCATCATCAAACTGTCTGAAGCAGAGTGGGTTTTGATGATGGCTATTTCTATACATTATAAACCAAAATATGTTTTTCCTAAGAGATCTGCCCATAAATATTTCTGGTCTACCACTATAAGAGGCCTCAGTTTTTTCCCTGGGGTTCTCATAACAAGACTCAGAGTTCTTCAAAGTATGACAGATGGGTTCCAGTGTGAACATCTGCCTCAGTTCATTTTGTCTTTATAACAGGAGGCCACATACGAAATCTTATAATAATCGTATTATGCACAGCTAATGGTACCAATTTCCTGCAGTTCTGAGGGCTATGAAGTCTCAGATAAAAGTGTCAAAAGGTTTACTCTGTGTTGATGGCGCTTTTCCTGGTTTATAAATGACATTTTCAGAAAATGTTAGCACCTGTAAAAGGAACAAGCTAGTATCATGAGCCTCTTTTATGAGCGAACTATCCTATCCCTGGGGCCTCTTCCCTTTTATCCCAATCCTCTTCTAGAAGACTCCACTTGTGAGCATCATAACTTTGGGAGTATGACTTTCATACATTAATTTTAGTAAGACTTACGCATTCTGATCCGAGCATCATCTAGCAAAGATAAAATGAAATATTAACATTTCAAAACTTGGAGACAAACATACAGCATGCTTACAAGTATGAGATTTTGCTACTGGTCAAGAAATTGCCATGTTTATGCTGAAGAGGAGCTGGGACAAGCCTGCATTCTGACAGCAGTGTCAGAGGACTTAAAGTCATCTCAAAGCACTGGTTTCCCTCTTAGGAACTAGATGGTAGAAAGCCAGTGTGTATCCAGCATGGAATGTCCATTCTGATCAAGCTAGGTCAAACACTGTCTTTATATATGGCCAGTACTGGTTTAGGCATAAGGCCTCTGTGCACACATCAGTTGGTAGACCAGCTAATCCCAATCACTCTGCCATCTGTCCTGCCAGGGGGACATTCAGAAGACATTGTATGTCTCAGGGAACAATGGCACGAGTGTTTTGCCCATATGGATCTAGAGAATTGTTTAGCTGTATTTGGTGACCACAAGCAGTTGCATGCTGTCCTTTCAGAGAATGACTTGAGAAATATACTTCAATCACATGAGAGACTCCTTAGAACCTGCAGAGTCTCACAGCAAAACCAATGTACAATCTCACCATAGTGCAATGTCCTTACTCTGCTGAATGGCTTACCTAGTTCTAAAGGTTGTAACTTAGGTCCTGGGGAGGTTAACTGACAACTAGTTTTCAAATCCTTCTTTACATGTTCATTGAAGATGTATTCTAGTCATCTCCACAAAGCATAAGCCATGATTTGAATGCCACACATTTGCTGTGTACTCTTTCATACTTTCTCATACCAGTGATTAAGCCTCAGTCACAGAGCTATGAAGTTCTAGCTCCTTGGAGTGAGCAGCGATGGGCAAATGGGTGTTGTCTAGTCCTAGAAAAGATAAAGAAGAAGTCTTTTTGGGAAGCCCAGCTTTGCCGCCAGCTTTTCCACGTTACTTAACTTTCCTTGCACCACAGGTGTCTGAGGTATCCAATAGAAATTAAGCACAAAAAATTAAGACATCACAAGTGACCCTTATATAGGGGAAGGCTGTTCCAAGTTGTTTCAGCTGCTCTTGTTTTCCAAGGTCTGGACAGAAGAGTGCTGTGTCTCTTGCTCTGCTCTCCCTGCATATCAGAAGGGTAAGTAATGAAAGTAACTTTTAAAGTATGGATATGTCTTTGAGGCCTAGCTGCAATAGACTCCCTAAAGGCAAGACTGCTCTGGAGGAGCCCACATCATCAGACACCCTTCTAGGGTTCTTCTGTCTGGGCCTCTGGTAGCTGGGATGAACAGTAATACCTGGTTAAGGGGAAACTCACAAAACTTTTGCCAAAACACAAATGTCTTCCTTGTCATTCCAGTAGGGATAATAATATAATCTTTAAAATGTCTTTCTACTTTAAGAACTATCTCTTGGAGTTGCTTGGTTTTGGTTACTGAGTTGCATACATTGTCTATACGTTTTGGGTATTCGTTTCTTTTCAGATGTATGCTTTGCTAAACTTTTCTACCATCTTCCAGCTTGCCCCCCTCACCCCACTGCTTATTCCCTCTCCTGTGCAGAAGCTGCACAGCCCAGTGCAATCTCACAATCCCAATTGCCCACCGGCCTTTTTCCCATCACTGTCCAGACCCAGTTCTGAAATTTCTTCTAGTAGTTTTATGCTTTTAAGTCTTATGTCCAGGTCTTTAATTCATTTTATTTGAGATAAAGTTCCAATTGTGCATGAAATAATTGGGTGTATGCTTTAATACTTACTGTTTCAATTGTCATTCTTACTTGCATAGAAGTAGAACGAATAAACACTCATCTTTCTTAGACCAGTGCTTTGCATAGAATCACAGGAGTCACCAAACGCATGGAACAAGACCTGTCATGAGGGAAGCTGTGACATCAAGAGTATCAAGAAGACCATTAGGACAAATCCCTTTCCTTATCAGTGTAGACCCTTTCTAACTGCATGGCCTCTCTCAAATCCTTTTCACGTAGGCCAACCCACATATACACAGACACACACAGGCACACACATGCACACGCACACACACACACAAACACACACACACATACACACACACACACACCACAAATACACATGGTTCCTGATTTTTTTTCATCCCCTAGGAAACCCACAGCCATGAGGATGCTCACTCTGCTCACCACACTTCTCCTGCTGGCTCTCCAGACCCAGGCAGAATCTCCCCCAGGAAGAGTTGAGGAGGATTCAGACAGGGAGCCCCTGGTAGAGGAGGACCAGGATATTTTCATATCCGTTGGAGGGGATAAAGGCACTGCTCTCCAAGATACAGGTGAGTGACAACATCATGCTAGGGACATGGAGTAGAGAGAAGGGGTAGAGGTAAGCTCTGAATTTGGGTCACCTAGGCGACTTTATTACTTCTTTATTTTCCTCATTGAACAACAAGAGGCAAATAGATCAATTTCTTTCTGGAAAGATTTGTTTGTGAATATCATGGGGTTTAATACAGAAAGAGACTTAGTGACTAGTTTTTTCTTCCTGATCTTAATGGCTAGATTTGGTCTATTTTATTGCATCTATTATATTTTAGGAATTGGAGATGTGTGTTTAGATATTTATGTAATAGCAAGAGCACAGAAAATGAAAATAACATTAAGACAAATGAGGAGTAGCCTTCAGTTTTGTGCTTACCATGGATATTTATTAATGTTGGTTGTGATTGCTCATCCTGCTGTCACTAATGATGAATGTGGAGAACCCATTTCACCCAGCACATGTCTTGCCCGAGATCTCTTCCTGCCCTTCTGATTCAGGCACTAAGTACTTCATATGATCTCTGTATCCCCAGACGTAAAGTCAGGCTTGACCTGCTATTGCAGACTCACACGCTGTGGTTTTGGAGAACAGCTCTCTGGGATCTGCCGTTACCGTGGCCGCATCTACCGATTCTGCTGCCGCTGAGCACTAAGAACAAGATGAATCCATTTTTCATATGACTTGAGATCTTAAAGAAGACTGTTATTTGTCCCATGTTGTGTTCTTGAGTGTCCTCTTCCTTTATATCCAAGTAAAGTTCTTTTAGCCAGTTCTCTCTGTGTGTCCGTGATTGTTATCCTGAAGCAGGACTCTGAGAACCAAAGACAAGAATGCTAGAAAGAAATTCTTGACTGGGCGGTGGTGGTGCACGCCTTTAATCCCAGCACTCGGGAGGCAGAGGCAGGCGGATTTCTGAGTTCAAGGCCAGCCTGGTCTACAGAGTGAGTTCCAGGACAGCTAGGACTACACAGAGAAACCCTGTCTCGAAAAACCTAAAAAAAAAAAAAAAAAAAAAAAAAAAAAGTTCTTGGCTTGGGTCTGTAGGAGTGTCAAGATTATCACGCAGGCTTCTGATGGATAATATGAAACGTAAATGCTATTGTCAGCATCATAACCTCTCATCTCATAACCCTACCCCATTGAGAGCAGAACCATTCTCAAAGCCCTGGCCATGTGGGAAGTAGACAACATAGCTATCTTCACTTTTACATTGTGACAATGACCTAACTTTTCAAAGAAACCAACCTCCTCATTCTAAATATTAATTTGACCAAGCAGGCCAAGATCATATTTCTACCCATGAAGCCCTAAGTGTGTGGCAGTTCTACAAACACAACTGTAGCATTAAGCTGCAAAGGCACCAAATAGGAAATGTGATGGTTTGTATATGCTCAGCCCAGGTAGTGGCAACTTCATAAGGTGGGGCCCTGGTAGAGTAGGTGTGGCCTGGTGGGAGTAGGTGTGTCACTGTGGGTGTGGGCTTTAAGACACTTATCCTAGCTGCCTGGAAACCAGTGTTCTGCTAGCAGCCTTCAGATGAAGCTGTCCTCCTCCACCATGCCTTCCTGGATGTTGCCATGTTCCTGTCTTGATGATAATGGACTGAACCTCTGAACCTGTAAGCCAGCCCCAATTAAATGTTGTCCTTAGAAGAGTTGCCTTCATCATGGTGTCTGTTCACAGCAGGAAAACTCTGAGTAAGACAAAAAGCAAAGCAGGAAAACTTATCACTCAAATATACTTATCACCTAAAGTATCTATGCACTTCTGGGGAAGCTGGATTTGATATATGTAGACCTGCCTTTACACACACACACACACACACACACACACACACACACACACACACCATGTACTCAGGCCTTCAGCTATACCTTAAAATATCTAGGTATAAGTATCTTAAGATATTGCTCAATTGGTGCTAATCTCTTAGCACATGTGACTAATGTCATTTACATGACCAGAAAGCCTGTGACACACAGAGGAACAACAGGAGGGAGCTGATCACAGAGAACAATATCCTCAGTCACTCCACCAGCTCTTCCCAACTGTAGAGGTGCCTGGATCCTGAACCAAACATAGTGGCCTTCAGAGGGACCTGGAGACCCTAAGCCTCCAGTTCTTAACAACCACCCACCAAATTTAATAGGCATATATGAGGATGCTTCCATATTTATCTCCCAACCCCTTAGGCCACTTTAAAGTACTTGTCTAACTCTAGTAAAATAAAAAGAGATTCCCAAGCCTTCCAAATTCCAAAGTGATATCAAGAGTTTATAGTGGCTTTCATGAACTCACAATTCTCATTGACTGTGTGGGAAGGATGCTAGAGATTTCTGGACACTAGTGCCACCATCTGGCTATGAAGTGTCATTGCAGTGTGGACATTAGTGCTTAAAGAACAGAGCTTCTGAGGAAGGAAGGTGCTAGCAAGTGGTTGGTCTCAACTGAGACTAAACAGTGGCTGGAATTCTTGGCTGTTGATCAGTCTTGGCTTTGAAGTTAAGTATAAGGTGAATGAAGAAGACAAGAATAAAGTCCTAACTGTTGGAAAGCGGTCCAGGAAAATTCTGAATGCTTGTAAGAAAACAAGACAAGAGTCTTGTGATCTCAGTTTCTTCAAAACACAGAATTGTAATTGGAATGCATTTTCATATTCATTCAGGTATAGTGGATGGGAGTGCGTTTACTTCAGATTACTCATTATTGCTTGCTGTTGTTATTCAATTAAATATTTAAACTACCCGTATTATGCCTGCAGGTGGCATGGCAAGAAGTGTTATGCACGCTGGTGGGTCACAAGTTAGTATACCCACTGCTGGAATTGACAAGAAGGCTCCTGGAAAGACTAAAAGATCATGTGACCTAGCTATACTTTTTCTGAATATAAACCCAAGCAAATCAAAACCAGCTTTACTGAGCAAAAAAGTGGATCTAGGCTGGAAGGGGAACAGGTGAATGTTATAGGAGTTTTGGGCTGTATCACTTTTAACCCCATTTAGTAGTTATGGAAGGTTGCTCTGGAGAAGTCATTGTCAAAGTCATTATCTATGGTGACAATATTCCTCAGTGAATGGTCTTGTATCAGGTGAGGGGAAGCCTCATCGTGAGGTGATCTGACTGTAAGACTTGCTGTTTCTCAAATCCAAGGTGACATTGACTTATGGCAGTGACTGGAGACTTCCCTGTGTCTTGAGGGGCTGGTTATAAAAACATGAGAGTAAAATTCTTTACTTACTCTTGGATTGTGTCTTCAGTCTTGAATGAGAAAGAATACCCACTTTAGACGGATACCCCATAAATGATTAATATGCCTGTGTGTAGAGTTGAGATGGAACCTGGCTCAAAGTACAAGAGACAGATACAAATGAAGGCACAGATTGTTGGGAGCCAACTCCTAGCAGAAAGCGGCTATCATCTTTGCAGCCATCTCAGGCCATATACCCTGACAAGAGACTTGTTTTCAACAGCCCACAACAGCTGAACACACTCTGATAAACATCTTGTTTTTCTCACATATCTTGTTTTGCTGTTTAGTGCCCCCAGCTGCAAGGTGCACGTGGTAAAGTGTCTTCAGCTGCATTCCCCTGCTTGTCCACAGCTGCAAGTCACGTGGTAAAGCATATACATACCCAGGATTTCCTTTCAATAAACGGGGACTTGATCAAACTCTGTCTTGTCTCCATTCTTCGAGTCTCTCCCCTCCATCCTCTCTCTCTCTCTTGCTAGACCCTGTTGACTGACCTGCAGACTGGAGCACTTGGCCCCCAAACATGGGGCAGCATGGAGCAGCGCCGGCCGGGACAACAGATGACCAGTGTTATCTTGCTTTTAACTCCCCATCAAGTATCTGCAGGCCCAAGTGAAGAATGTGTGCCTTTCAGCCGAAGTTCTTAGTCCTGTTTTGCAACTTTTCCCAGGTCTCCAGTCTGCCAGCCTCCCACTCTAGCATATTTGACACCTTACACTTTCTGTACTCCCTAAATGTAATGGCTTAATTCCCCTAAATAGAGGAACTGGCTCTATTTCTCTGTAGAACCCTGGCTGATGCACATCTAGTCCTAGGTCCTTGAAACATTGGGTATCAAGAATGTCAGCCGTAGATGGAAGGGGATTCTTGGGAGGCAGTGAGTTATGAGAACTGTAGACTGACTTGGGAGAGAGCCCCAGGTATCACTTCTGAAGACCCCTTGGAGGAAGCAGGGAGTATCAGAATGTCTCCAAAGCCTTGACTAGCCGGGGTTTAGTGGTCTCCCTTGCCTGCACCCCAAGATACACTCCTTTACTTGAATTTTCCCATGTGAAATGAACACACTTCTCTTTACTTGACACTCCCATTTTAGATTGGAAGATGAAGTAAATAGAATGATAGATGAAACTTGCCTGGATCTGCCATGCTCAGTGCTGTGATTTCATCGTTCTTATCAGAAGAAGACAAGGTAAGGGCAAGAGAGAGAGGAACAAGGGAAGGCAGAGAAAGGTTGAGAAATGAAGGAGTTTAGTTTAATGAATGCCTGATTCCCAGAAGCCCAGGCCACTGCCTTGATAGACTGAATATCTAATTGAAAATAGAAAGAAAAATGCAAGTCCTTCTGGTTTTCTGCATGGAATAAAATAGTGAGTAGCTATCAGAAATATGAGTATCATGCTAGGGGAATTACAAAGTCGAGGGCAATGTTTACTTAGGCATACTGAAGTATTATAGGTGTCCAATGGATATAGATGGAAAACTATTAGTTACGTTTCATAAGCATCAAGAAATGTTGGGCCAGATTTTACCTGGGTCAAATTATGCAGCAAATTCAATGATTCCCAGGCAGGATCCTCTAAGAGTACCAAAGAGTACCTGGATATTAGAGGGAGGCACAAAGAGGGTGCATAGTTTGTATTAATCAAAAGGGACAGGGATGAGTTTGAATAAGAGATGACGTAGACTTTAGAGGTTGGGACTGTGCTCTGGCCTACCAGTAGAGGACAGCAAAACACCTTAGCATGTTCTCAGGACTTGGGGAGCTAGGGCTGTTTATCTGCTAAAATGGCCTTTCTATATACTATCCAACTATTTATACAAATACTACAGACTTCACTGAAGACCAGATAATTTTAGAGAAAACAGTGGGATTCAAGACTCAAAGAACCAGTTATCCTGGCAGTACTCATGTGCCCTTGTTGCTATTAGGCCCCATCTGCCACCTACCTTTGTTATACAACTGTATTGCAAGCAATAGTGCTCACTACTTCCAGGAAGACGCTTTTCCTCCTCTGCCAAGAGAGGTTTATCAAGCTATAAACTTTATCTAAATGCACACAAATAGTCTTACTTTATAGTTCTATTCAATGAACACAAGATTAGAGTTCAATAAATATGATAAGAAGAAAATATAACAAAGAGAAAGGAAAAAATATCTGTGCAAATATCTGCTGTGTGTTTTTGTTTGTTTTTAACTTTCATTTTATTTATTATTAGTGTTGGAGAGGGAATCACATTGAGGACAAAGGACAACTTTGTGGAAATCAGCTCTCTCCTTCCATTTTATGTGTGTTCCAGAAATCAAAACTGAATCACCAGGAGTGAGTGCATGGCAAGTACTTTTACTCACTTTAAACAGAGAGTAACCATTTGGTCTGCTTCCTTCCTTATTTGCAACTAAGCCACTCCTAGGCACTGCTCAAAAACTTTTGATTTTTTTTGATATATCAATAGACTTACCTTATTATCTTTATATTGAATTAAAAATAAGTAGCACAAATTTTACTTCACTGATTCAATAATG